TAGTTTTTATATTTATTACATAAAGCCTAGCCTAATTAATTAACATGACACGACTAAGAGAGTGCAGTTTTCCCCGAAAATCAGTACGATTGTAAATTCGACATTGATTTTAAACAAGACTTCAAACGAGTAGTTAATATTAAGTGACTTAGGGCATATATTTTAGTACAATAATGTCAATATGACTGTTTTTGCTGGATTTGTTTAACGAAAATAGTTCCAAACAAACTTAGCAGCAGAACTGTCGTGCATCTCTGAGCAACAGTGTCAGCGTCAGCGGTGTTTCGTTAGGCTACTGAATGATTCGCATTTTTGAATTAATAATTTGAGTCAATGATTCAGTGGTCCATTCATAAAGACAGGCGCTTGCTTCATTCTTGAATGAATCAGCCGTCTGAACGAATCATTTGAATGCCTCAATGACTCACTCATTAAGACAGTCAACTTGCTGCCACCTGCTGGCGGGTTACTTTGAAATTTAAAAGTAACTTTTTTTTTTGTACTTTTTTTTTTACAACTTTTCATATTTGTAAATAAAAAGAACCTGATGTAAAACACCAAGCTCACAGCATTATTTATGCTGTTTTAATTTTGCAGTGTTAATGCATTCATGCTACATTTCAGCTTCATTAAATGGTCTGTGTAAATGTGTAAATTATTAATAAAATGTAAGAATTTGATATGAAAGATGACACATGCATTTAATAAGGTTAGGGGGAAATGCCCTTTTTATAGGCAAAAAAAAAGACCTGGAAATCAATTCAAATAAATTTTAATATGCAGTAACTTTAGTCATATAAAATTTAATTTTCCAGCAACAAAATTGTGGCCAGTGAAAATGCTGAGTGGCTAGTAATTTTGGAAAACCACTAGCCACAGTGGCTGGTGAGCAAAAGAGTTAATGTCAAGCCTTGTATACAGTGAATACTTGTATTTATACTTGTATTGCAGTAAAAAATGTGGTGTTTAACCGGAGTACGGTGGTGGGGGTGCTTGACATGTGTCAAACACTAGAAAGAGGTGCACGCTGCAAAAAGTTTGGGAACCACTGGTCTATAGGATTCGATGTGTACCGGGGTATTTCTGTTTTTCATTAAGCGCCATCTAATGTCAGGGAGTGAATTTGCACGTTTACTCGGCTCATCGCCAGCGAAAATCGCTTGGGTATGAACACAAAAGACACGTCGAAAAACGTCGGCGATAAGCGCGCGCGATAATCGTCCCAGTGTGTACGAGGCTTGAGGGTGAGTAAATGATGACAGAATTTTACAAAACTTGCTGTCAGCTGGTTTTGGGTATCAGACAAAACTCTGCTGACTGGTTTTGGATACTACACAATACAGATATCCTCTGAAGGGACCTGATAAAGAGAATGAATCCAGTATTCTTGGTGTGGAGATTTGATCTAACATTTTGGATCTGTACACCATGTTATGTCATCTTCTCTCTGCAGTGATGAATGGTCACTGATCCCTATCACTGTTCGCTAAACATGTCAGTGTTCTGTGGCCAGTCAACCTCTCAACGGCTTGGCAGTATAAACAGGACCTTCAGAGAAAATCTGTAAGATATTTGAAGACCAAATCCAACAATCTGTTGACAACCCCTTTTGCTGTGATAAATAACCTGTTCTCAGTACTTCTGACTGTCTGGCAAACAGTCATTCGATTAGATCTCAAAAATGGGGCACAGGTCAATCTGATCTTATGTTGTTGATGTCAAAGAACATGCATTCTAAACCTAACTCTACAATATCTGACAATAAATTAGGCAGATGTCAACATGAACAGGTTGCAATTGGGAACTCTGAAAAAAAGGAGTAGAAATGTGTGTTGACTTTGTGGTCAGACTATCCGTCCAAGTATAATGAGTACTGATTATTGTATTGACGTTACTCTGAAAACATTAGTAGGATTTACAGTTGTGCTGCAGTCGTGTACATATTGTTTATTTGCCTCAAACAAAACTCTGAAAATAAAATATTCTATTCATTGGCAAATCTACAAACTAGTTTCTTCTGAGATGTGTTCATTGTAACAACTTTGTATACCCTCCAAGACTTTGTTTCTTGGCACATAAAACCTGTACCCCTGACCCCTGGAAATCACGTTAAACTTGGCTATATACTATAGTGTATACTAGGCTGTAACTATACAATCTTCTAGAGAATAGTCATTTCTTGGGCCAAATGGTTTATCGAATTGTCATTCGCACCCTGAGAGACTGCAAACACATGAATTGGCACTGGTGTACAGACACAAATACATGTACTGTACATGTACACAATTCAGCAATCCACCATTAAAATGGGATGTTCAATGACCTCAAATGGCATTGAAGATTCACTACACCCTCTTAATATTTTATTTAATGTCCTTTTTCCTACCGCAAGGTGTAAATTACCATATTGTACTTTGGCAGTTGTTCAACTATTGTGACTTTGACTTGATGAACAGATGAGACACAAACAGATGTCACAGGCGATGATAGACAAGGATGTGTCAAAGTAAAGTTTCATTAATAAATGCTTTGTCATTTCTGAACAATGTAAAAAAAAATAATGGTGTAAATTAACAAATATCAACCACATTCTGTGCTGAAAATCTGTGAATCACTAATTTCACTTTGTATTTCCCCTCAGACGATGAGTGGACGTTTTTTCCCTCATCAAGCTATCAAAACTGATGCAGTTCTCAGCTTGGACGAGGACTCGGTTCTGTCCACCAATGAGGTGAGAGATCACACATTCATTCAACATAATAAATGTTACTGTATTTGAAATGGTAAGGAATATCATATAGTACACTATATGGTTTTATCTTTCAAAATCTCAATCCTTTGTCAAGTGACAAAATTGACATTATATTGAAAAGTATTATTACATTTCTAACAAATTATCGTTTTGAAATAGCACATAAAGTGCAAAGAAAACACACAACTAATTTTAAAGTTTGAATTTAGCATGTTGCTAAGCTAATAGTGCAATACTTCAGTGTTCTCTTTCTCACTCACAAACAAACTTTCACTCTCCCAGTCTACTTCCTTTGTCCTGTCCTTTTTTACCTCATTATTTTGTCTCTTTTATTCAGTGGTATTTGTGATGCTGCATGTATTGTCCGTTTCTGGCTTGTTTTGTGTTTGTTCTGCACTTTGTTAATGTCAATTCTCTGTCTTCGTTTTCCCTGAGACAAGAGATGATATTTGCACACTGCAGCATCAGCAGCCTGCTGGGCTAATTTTTAATTGCTCTCAGCTGTATTATTTAATCAGACAATAATATGTGCTACAAAGAGAGAGATATGGAGAGAGAAAAAGAAAGAGGAAATCTCTAATTGGATGTCCAAATTCACAAAAAGATGTTGGTATCCGTATACTGGTCCTGGTGAGAGGCAGCTTGTGTCTTTCTCAAAATATGTGGAATTCTGACTTTCTGTCACTTTTTTCTCCTTATGCCGAGTTCACACTGCACGATTTTCAAACTCGTCGGATCGCCGTTGTTTTCACACTGCATGACTATCTGGGGTAGCATTCAAATCGGGCTAAAATCGTGCAGTGTGAACTCGGCATTAGGCTATTATTCGTTGTAATTGTGCTTTCATTTGCTGCTTTGTATTTTAAAGTTGTGTGTGTTTAACTTCCTGTTTGAAAACAATGCCAAATGAAGGTTGCATGCCTGAAACATGATTTGCAAGCTATAGCAGTGTATGGGATTCACATATTTTTGCTTGACTGTTTGCTTCTGTTTATTCCTACACACCTGTTTATAGGAGTTGTGATGAGATTTCATTTAGATTTTTAATTTCTGACTTATAAAATGGCATCTCAAGACAGCTGATTGCATTAAATACATTATACCTTTAATTAAAACCTTTTCTATTGATCTTGGAAGTACTTTTCCATGCTTTTTGTATTTTCAAAAAGTAACCTTGATGAGAACAATGACATGACAGAAAGGGACAAACATTTCATAATTATTATTAATAGTAGAATTTTTTTTACCTTTTAATAATATTGAAAAAAATTAAATTGTAATGATTATTTTATGATGATTTTTTTTTCAGGCACCCCTTTTAAAGAATAAAAATGCAAAAAATATAGTCAAAATATTTGATGTTATTTATTGATGGTGATTTATAAGGTGTTTCTTGCATATTTAAATTAGATTGTGTCAAAAAGCTCCTCAAACAAAGTTTTACTGTTAATAATTCTTCAGTACATTATACCATTATTATTTTTATTTTTTTCTTGCAAAATTGAACAACTACTTTTTTTCATTGACCTTTAACCT